GCCCGCCGGTCTGCACTAGAGGGCGCAGACGGACCGCGGCGCTGCCAGCGCCCGCCAGCGCTGAGTGCTGGGGAAGATGCCGCGCCGCACGCTTAGTGACAAATATGGCAGAGGAGCTCAGGCAGGTAAAACGTCAAATTGTCTCCCAGGGTGCTGCAGTGGAGCGCACTGATTCGTCCCCATCTGTCTTCTATCATGTCCGCCAACAGATCTGACAATTATCTTAATGCCCATATGCTTAATTGTGGGCTTCTCAATTCCCCCATTGCTATCGGAAATCCTGCAGGAATTTCAATTTGGCATTCGACTTTCATTTCGGGGGATAAGACTCTCAGGCCTGCCATTTTTTCTCCATAATGCCGGCTAAGCCTCTGACAGTGGAAGCTACAGCAGTATGTGACACAGCCCCTACCCAGTGCAAACACAACAAAATGCCACCTGCCTTTCCAAAGCTCGAAGCCCCTTCCAAATTAGCGCTCGCTGGATTTCATTAACCACAGAGCTCCAAACCCGAAGGGGCACCAGCCCTGCCAACACCACGACTCCGGGTAATACACCAATAAAGGTTTTATTAAACACTCCAGTAATGCTGTCACCTCAGCTGACAGTGCGGACACAACGGAAAGACATCCGCCATTTCCACGTACATCGCTCCTAGACGCACTTTACGAATCAGGGTTGTTACTTCATTAAATAAAACAGACTTGTGGAGAAGAGTTAAGCATCTGAAGAGCCAAACTGTCAGAAGTTGCGGTAGGCTTTGATATAAAAACATCTAGAGCGGATAGCACGGGAACCGCGAAGAGCTGCGCCTTGAGTTTCTGCGTTTAAGACACGACTCACTGACGATCAGCGCTGTGAGTGGTATATATATACAGCACGTCTGTATGTAAAATTTAGTGCTCGTTCTGGACTTTCTCAGGTGTACATTTCCCGTAACACTCAAGTAAAGCGTGTTTCCATAGACGATAAACTCAGCAGAGAACTGTAAATCTCTCTTTATTCTCCATAAGTATTATAAGTACTTGTGCAGATAAAAAGATTGAGGAATGTTTCTAATCAGACTTACAAGATAATATAGTATAATTGTTAACAGCAAGTCAAGACCGCAGTAAGAAAGATAAAAGGGAATCCTGCCAAAGGGAACTTGAGAAAATCTTTTACTACTAGACAAAATGCAAATAACCAAAAGCAAGTGTAAAATAGGAGAGACAAAAACTCTCTCCTTGTTGAGACACTATAATTTTAAAAACATGACATACTAAGAAAAGACTGGAATCAACATTATTTGGTTGTAAGAAAGAACAGCTCTTAAGAGAGATGTTTAGAGCTCTGCAGTTCTACTTCCTTAAATCTCAACGATTCAAATGATAAAACGTAATGAAAATCATGATGACATTTTTCTGAGAGGAAGTATTATTTAGCATCACCTACAAAAGAAAAAATATTAGTGAATCAGGCTTTCCTTCTGCACCCTCAGGGATGTTCAGCTCAACTGGATATGACCCTGAGCAACCTGATCTAACTTCGAAGCTGGATCTGACTTCAAAGCCGCCCCACTTTGAGCAGGGGTTGAGCAGGAGGTCCAGGTGACCTCCAGAAGTCCCTTCCGATCTAAATTTTTCTGAGACCTATGGAAGACGAAAACTCAAACTTTGAGGTAGATGAAGACAATAAAACATATGATACCACTTTGGGTCGGGAAACAATGACTACTCCTCAAGCAGAACTCCTGAGAGCAACTGGAAGTTCCAAAGGGACTTTGACAGACATAACATCTCACCTCGAGTCCTTCCTTTTTCCTGTGCGTCTCCCTGAGCTCCTTCCAGAACTAATGCAGAAGGACAGGCAGATCCCTCTGGAAGGGGACTGGGTACACCCCGTCTTGCTCCAGCTGTTTCAGGAGACGCCTACCACCTCCTGCAACTGCGCAGGGGGCTTGGGAGGCCAGCTAGCTCCACAGAGGGCTACAGAAGATGCCTCACATTCGGTGGCCCAGCTCGAAGATGGACAGCTTGGATATCCGGGTTATTTGGCCTGAGTTCGCATCGCTCTTATTTCATCCTACCCAAAAGCTGAGGTGGTAAAAACAACTGAAAGCTAGTAATTTTCGAGATTTTTAAACCGAAATGTTGAACTCAGATGCCAAAAAGATGATACTACTGACATAAAATTTTAACTACATTTTTAATATTGGTTCTAATAATAAAAACTTTCCTCTCACTTCTCTTCCTGACGTTTCTCAAGAGATCTGAAAGATAATCAATCACAACTGAATGATAACAACTACCGATCCATATTTCCTCTTCTACAACCTAAAACATTACAAATTATGTTTGTTGAGATTTGTAACTATCTTTTTTTTCCTGTAAAATGGCCAGTTTCAAGTTTGTTTAGTGAACAAATATGTCCTATGACCATTCTTACACTACGGAAAGACCGGTTCCCATCCACTGTGGTTTATTTTGAGCAAGATGTTTTTTCCTCTCAGTGAGTGGGAGTAAGGGTTTCTGCTCAGATGCAATCAAACTTCAGGCTGGGGGACTTGCTTCACCCACAGTCCTGTGTGTGCTGCAGTGGAGACCGTTCTGCTCCAGACATGGAACCTTTCTAACTCTTCCTACAAAAATGCCATAATGCAACTGTCACTCCACAGCTTATTTTTCTAGGTAATTAATTTCTACAATTATGATCACTTGCAAGAAGATTCAGGCAGCAAAATCACTTAGTTTTATTGTTTGTGTGCATGTGTGTGTGTGTATGTGTGCTCACACATATGGTAAGATCAAACCTAGCATGTATACCAGGTCGTTCCATAAATGGAGGACACGTGAAGGTTGATTTCTTGGGGCTTTGTGTGTCTGCTACGACTCAGGTCTCGCCCTGTTTGAGGCCATATCGCAGCCCTGTCCTGTGGGGATATGCAAACAACGGCTATTAATGGTAAGTTTGGCTTCAGAGGTTGCCTTAAAATGGGCTGGTCATTTTCTTTTCTCTTTTAAACATGATGGGCTGTTTTCACAAAACTACGAGGAGCTCAGTACCTTTAGGACCACCACCATGCTGCCAAGCTCAGCTGAAAATCCCCATGTGAGCTATCAGGTATTATGAGGGAGACACGGAGCCAGACAAGGCCCTGGTGTTAGTCTGATCTTCTCAAGAAGAAGACAACCTGGTTATTCTAAGCATTTATGTCAACAGACTGAAATTTCATTGCAGCAGTGGAAGAAGCAAAATTAAGCCGAACACACCCACGAGAAGCACTGCAGTCTCCTGGTGCTCAGTCTGATGAGCTGTATGCCAACACACCACCTGTCACTGCCGCGGTGAGGGGACCAAGGGCTACAACCTCCTCCACCAGGCCACCGCTACGCGCGACCACGCAAACATCCAGTGAGCCCAGAGCGAACCCCGGTACCATCAGCCCCACTTGGAAGGGCTGGGAAGCGCTTGCAAACGATAACAGAAGATACAAAAATGCCGTATTTTCTGCTCCTCCCTAACCAGCAAGCAGTGCCGACGTTTTGTCTATTATATAAACATCAGTTTTGCCTGGAGGTAGAGCAAAGATATGAATCATTCCCCCTAGCCCAGGAGTGTAGATCTATAAATAATACTTATCTTTAGAGATTCAAGCTCACTTTGAAGGTCTATTAATATTTTATTTATTTCCATCTCTTTAAACAGCCCCCTACTGCAACACTCAGCAGATCGGAGAGGAAAAAAACAACAAAACAACAACCCGCAGAACATGCACTGGAGGTACAGACGGGCCCTAAAGTTGAGGTGTGCTTCTCTGAGTTACCCCCTCTTTGAAATCATAATCTCCCACACACAGGTACAGGGGCAGGCACACATGTACATGCTCATATGCAATGTACCGTGCGCTTGAAATAATTCAGTCAAAGGAAAAAACCGTGAGAAGCCCTAATCTTGGGCTATTCTGGCTCTTAAAAGTTAAAGAAGCTTCTGGAAGGCAAAAAAAAAATACAGCTACTGAGTAGGATGATCCCACCGACAGGGAGCAAGTAATGATCAAGGTCAGTCCACGGGACTTTTTAGTGTAGGTCTCTTTGGAGGCGTTTCCATACTAGGTTGGCAGGCAGCATGAAAACCTGGCCAGTGTTCGAATTTGCATTTGCGTTAATCTTTTATGGCATTTTAAAAACTGTGGGAGTGGGAAGAAGGCTAGACCTTGTCTTCTCCTAACATTGCATTTTAATTTGTACATACAGTAACAGGTATTCGGTATAAATGTGAGGCTTTTCAGGTTATGCTAATTTGTATGTATTTCAGATTATCTATATGTTATCTATATATTATATTTCAGATTATCTACCTATTCATCATGGATGGGAAGTTGTTTCAAAAAATTGCCTCAAAATTAATCCTCAAATATTCAGCATTTCATATGACAGATGCGTATCTGTAATTAATACAGACATACAAAAGACGCTAAGATTTTCAGAAGCATATTCCATAAGGAGCATGAAGCGGAGAACGACTGCATTTTGTGAAGTAACCAAACCTCTCAGAAGACCTACCCGTTCCACGGAAGCACGTGAAGGTACATGACACTTCTCCATTTCCATTTTAGCTCATTTACAGTAGAAAACCGTGCTGGCGTATGGTAAACTTGAATATTTCTACTTAGCAAATAGAGGGATATTTTAGTTCTTGTTAAAGGGATGAGGAATGGGAATGCGTCTGACGTTACCAATCATCACTCGCATCCTCAAATCAGAACGCGACAACGGAAAGGGTGTCTTAAAATCCATACTTGGCATTCGCAGCGCAGAGCGGCACACATCACCGGGCCATCGCACATGACGGGTGTTAAGCAGGCACCCGCTCGGTTTGAACCGGGTCCTCTTTAAATCTGATGACAAAATGCCCCCACTTCCATCCTGCAGCTACCAAGAGCGAGCAAAAATCCACTCATAGTTTCAGCCTGCTTCCAAGAAGTGTAAGGGGTTTTTCTTC